TATCGCTCAATATGTTAAGCATATTATATAAGGTCGACTCTTGAGTCTTTGACTCTGGTCAAACTTTCTAAAGGGGCAAGGACATTTTTCTTTTCCTTAGTCAGTTCAGGAAACAGGCCAAGGGGCCATTCTGAGGGTTTCCACTCATTACTGATGTAGCGTAATGCTCGTCCTGCTTTTGTTTCGGCTCATATGGACTTCTTTATGGTATAAAATGAGACAGGAAATGGGCCATAAGTGTGAGAAGGCCGAGATAGACCATAGAAGACTGAGTGCAATTGGGGTGCAACACAGAGGGCATTTTGTCCGTCCAATTGGCTAACAAAGGCAGTTCACTGGACGGTTTTGAAGAAGTCATTCAGAAGCATCGTCAGTTTATTTTTTAAGACACATGTTTTGCCACACTCAGATGTTTGCATACAATTGAAAATTCCTTTTTCTTTGCGAATGGAAACCAATACTTTTTTTTAGGACTGAACAGCTTATACCTTGATCAAATATATCATAATTTAAGTATGCCTTGCTTTGCCAGTTCTATACTACTACTTAAGACAACATTAAACACGGCTGAGTTTGGCTTGTTTTTAGAAAAAAATAATCAAAAAAGGGCTCAGAAAAATCAGGTATTGAATTGACCGCAGTCTTGAAAATTGTACCTCCACCCTGTATATAACATTTGCTTGAAGCATAAGAATTTAAAGATCACTGGGAAAAAACGGAAAAGCAAGGTTTAGTTCACCTTAGGCCAACAGATAATATAAAGGTTTACTCCCATGTATTCCATCATATCGCTGATGCAGCATGCAGCAGAAAATGATCTTTCTGAAATGCATATTCCTCCTCCCTTGGCACTTAAGAAAAAGGTGTACTGCCTGCCTACATTTATTGTTTCCCATGTCTGTTTGTGTTTCTTCTTTGTCTGTTAAATACCCATTCTTTCTCTCCCTGTCTCGCACCCAAACATACACTCACAATGACAGGAATCTCAATATTTCCCCTTCCCCTTCTCATATATCTTTCTCTTTAACTCTGTTTTCCACAGTTTTTCTCTCTGTCGCCCTTATCTCCCGCTTAATCTGCCCTCCTTTTCTGCGCTCAACCCTTTCCCACATCACACAAGGCTATTTCATCGAATGTCCTTAGATGTGTATATTATAGAAGCCTAGTGCATGAATGTCTACATAGTCAAAGTCACTTGTCTCTGTATTACCCCTTCCTCCCACCCCACACTCCCCAAACACTCTCTCACTCTCTACTGTTTATGGAGTTGTTTCATCATGTCTTCTTACATGCATATTATAGAGGCCTGCCCTACGCAAGCGGCATGGCTCCGATGAAACATTTGAATAATTTATCACCTCCAGTCTGCCTTGCCACACTTTAGAAAGTTTTCCCAACAAAGTCGCAAAATT